TGAACTCAACATTATAGGTGTAATCTATATTAAAAAAGTAACTTCCTGAGCAAAGTTCTGGTAGGCCAAACTAATAATGATAACTAAAATTTATTACTTGCCCTTATTTAATCATCAAAACAATCCTATGATGTAGATTGTGTTAGTTTTCTATTGCTACGTTAAAAAAAAATTACCCCAAAATTCAGCAGCTTAAAGAAACAAATATTTATTGTCTAACAATTTCTGTAGATCGGGAATCCAGGCACTTCTTAGCTGGGTCCTCTGGCTCAGGTCACTGTAGAGGCTGCAGTCAAAGTGTTGGCTGGGGCTGCAGTTATCTCAGGGCTCCACTGGGGGAGTATCTGCTTCCAAACTAACTAAATGTGGCTATTGTCAGGCCTCAGGTCCTCTCTGGCTGTTGGCCAGAGAGATCTTTCCTCCTCTGATGGGCCTTTTCATAGGGAAGCTCACGACATGGCAGCCTGCTTACCCTAGAGAGAGGGAGAGAGATGGAAGTCACAGTCTTTTTGTAGCCTAATCTTGTAAGTGATATTCCATCACTTTTGCTGTATCTTTCTTCATTAGAAGTGAGTTGCTAGATCCAGCCCACACACAAGGGGAGGGAATTACAGAAGGGCATGAATACCAGGATGTAGGAATCACTGGGGTCATCACAGAGGCTGCTGACCACATATATACTACTACTATCATATTTTTACGAAAATAATGCTTGCCGTCTGCCTTTACTTGCTGGCTGCGCCGTCTCCCTACATACCACTCCCCAGCCCCCCGCACCCTTTCTGCTGCTAACCGGAAGGTCGGAGGCTTGGGCCCACCAGCCCTCTGTTGGGGAGAAAGATGCAGCAGTCTATTTCTGTAAAGATTACAGCCTTGGAAATGCTATGGGGTAGTTCTACTCTGTCTTACAGGGTCACTATGAGTCAGAGTTGACTCAACAGCACCTAACAACAATAATGTCTTCATTTTACAGATGAGAAGTCTGAGGCAGGGTTTAAGTGACTTGCCCAAGCTGCTAATAAGATAACTAGTAACTAAAAAATGATTGAGGTAAAATGAGGACAGTCATCCCCAAAGTAAAGAAACAGTATATAATTACTTGATAGATGCATATGATCTGCTGTAAATACAATGAAGAGCTAGACTGATGACATATGGAAACCTAAAGGTTTTCAAACTAATCCAAGCAACAGCTTTCAATAAAACAGTTTAAAGAGTCCTTTGACTGGTGGAAGGGGATTTAAATTGTTTCCACAAATAGCCAAAAATAAATTCAAAAGCAAAATTTACAAAGTATGGCATTGGATCCTCCTTAATTCAGCCCTATGAATTAGCAGACTCTTATTATTATTATTTTTTAATGTGGTAAAAAGACATATAACAAAACATTTATCGTTTCAATCTTTTTTATGTGTACAATTCAGTGAAATTAATTATGTTCACCATATTGTATAACCATCTCCACTATCCATTTCCAGATGTTTTTCATCACCCTTAACAGAAACTTAGTGCCCCTTAAATAATAACTGCCCTTCTCTCCCTTCCACTAATAAACTTTGGTCTCTATGCACTTGCCTGTTCTAGATATGTCAGATAAGTGAAATCATACAATAAATGTCCTTTTGTGTCTAACTTATTTCACTCAGCATAATGTTTTCAAGGTTCATCCATGTTGTAGCATGTATCAGAAGTTCATTTCTCTTAATGGCTGAGTAATATTCCATTGTATGAATACCCATATATGTCACCTAATGTCCATTTGCACAATGTCTCATTGCATATACATCTGTGGATGGGCACCCAGATATCTGAGTGCCCCAACGCCAAATCCTCGTCTTGAAGTCGAAGCCCCACTTCTGCTTGACTGGAAGCCACCTAGTCTGCGGTGATGGAGGCCCAGGCCCAAACTCCCAACCCAGTCTCCCTTGGCTCCAGCACGACTTGCAGTCTAGTCCCTTCATTTTGCCCAGTTTGGTCCCCTAGGGCGCAGATGGAAAGGTATCTGCTCCCGGCGCCCCAACCCTGGCCTGCACAGGCCCTCTCTGGGCAGGTTCTCAGAGGAGAGTTGGCCTTCCCTGCAGCTGGCTTAGCAGAGAAGGTAGCGCAGTTGGGTCAGCAGTTTGGAGGAGAAAGTGCGGGTTGATTATTGACCCACCTCTTTTCTTCAAGTGCCACATCCTACAGGGCCGGTTTGAAGGGAAAATGCTGGTGAGCGGATTTTTGCTGCAGGCTCTCGCCTCCTTCTCAGCTTGGCTCCCTCGTTCATGTTGTACCACCACAATATGCCTTAAAGAGTATGTGTGTGCTGTTTTGTGCTTTATTTACATCTTTGGGGCACCCAGTCATAAATCTTGCCCAGCCACAAATGATAAAAGTCATTGGTATGCACAAGGCCATCCTGGCCTGGAGTGCTTTTTGATTTCTCTCTTTTCCCCTGGCTTTGTTTTTGTTTTAAGGTGACACTTAGGCTCCCTGACAATTTAAACATACTACTCATATTTTGGAAACCCTGCTGGTGTAGTGGTTAAGGGCTATGGCTGCTAACCAAAAAGTCGGCAGTTCAAATCCACGAGGCGCTCCTTGGAAACTCTTGGGGCAGTTCTACTCTGTCCTATAGGATCGCTATGAGTCAGCCAAGGGTTTTTTTTTTTTTTTTAAAGTAGTATTTTTAACGCCTTCTCATAGCCCCGCTCGGCAGCGAGCACGCCATGCCATGCCCTACCAGCGGAGCAGGCAACCATGCCACTGGGCGGAGTGGGCGACTGATCATGCTCCCAACCGCCCTAGGTCAGCAGGCATTGTGGGGCCCAGCTGGAGTGGAGTGGGGGGAAAGGCACCATGTTCCAGAGAGCACTCCCCTGCTGCCTGGGCCCACCCACGCCAGAGCCTCCCAGCCACGACCTTCACCCGGCTGCTGTGCCTGAGCGCTGGGTGGTTCCAGCCAAGCGGTCACCGAATGCCTCCATGGCCAGAGCTGCCCCTGTGGCTCTCGCACAGCAGTCCCCAGGCCCCGGGCCCCAGTCCGTCCGCAGCGGAACCCCATGCTCCACAAGCCCCATGCCCCACATACCGAGGTGTTCCCACAATGTCCAAATCACATGTCCTACAGAACTAATTGTGAGGTAAGCAACGAATACCTGTATTAGAGTCCCTGGGTGTCACGGTTAAGTGCTCTGCTACTAATGGAAAGGTTGTCTGTTCAAATCCACCCAGAGGTGCCTTGGAAAAAGAGCCTAGTGATCTGCTTCCAAAAGTTTACAGCCATGGAAAACTCTACGGAGCGCAGTTCTGCTCACCATGATTGGAATCAACTTGACAGCAACTGGTTTGTTTTGCTTTGTGTTGTTATGGATGTACCACGTTTTGTTTATCCATTCTTCTGTTGATGGACGTTTGGGTTGTTTCCACCTTTTCGCTATTGTGAACAGTGCTGCAGTGAACACTGGTGTGAATATATACATTTGTGTTCCTGCTTTCAAGTCTTTTGGGTATATACCCAGAAGTGGAATTGCTGGTAATTCTGTGTTTAACTTTTTGAGGAACCACCAAACTGTTTTCCACAGCAACTGCACCATTTTACAATCCCACCAACAGCGGATGTAGGTTCCAATTTCTCCACATCCTTGCCAACACTGGTTTTTTGTTTTGCTGATAATAGCCACACTAGTGTGGGTGAAATGATATCTCATTGTGGTTTTAATTTGTCAGAGTTCTTTTAACTGAATGCAAATACCCAGGAAGTTATTTTTGCCACATTTCAAGAAGCAAGGAAAAAAGTTCTGATTAATCCTAAATAAGATGAAAATGGTGCTATGTGCATTTCCATCCATTTATCCAAATGATGGCTTGTACAAAAATTCTCGTATCTGTGAGAATATGTAATATGTATAAGTTTTCGAATAGCAACATTACAGTAGAAATAGGAACGTTTCCACATGAACTTCTTCCCCCCATCTACCACCACCTGTTCTCACAGTGAATCTGGATCCTTGGCAAGCTGAGGGTTTCATTGTTCAGTTTTCTTACCTTCTTTGCTTTACTTTTTTCTTTTCCTCATTCCCTCTTAAAATTAATTTTAAAATATTGCTTGAATTTTATGAACCCAAATTTTCTTTTGGGATATTCAACACGAATTAGAAAAATAAAATGTATCCTATTTTTATAGCAACATTTTGAAAAACATTAAAACCTCAGTGTAAGAAAAAAAAACCTGATAAATTGCTATTATAGGTTCTTCTATAATGCAAATTAAATGGTCGACTGCTATACACATAAAACATCTGCTAGCCTAAATTAAAATGAACAAGGAACTAAATTAGAGTTGCTTTTTCCATCTAATCTTATAGAAGACTAAATATATTGTAAGCTAGGTATTCTCAGTATTTTTTAAAGCATTGCCTATTAGTGAGTTTAGTACAGTAAAAAGAAGCAATAACTAAATAGTATCCTGGGGACCTGAAGGAGTTAATGACTGTGGCTTCCTAAGTGTTTAATTGACAGCTGGGTAAAGTACCAGGCAATTCCAGTTCAGTAATAACAACAAAAGATACAAATTTGTTCTAAATCCTAGGCCAATATTGGCAACAATCCTTTTTCTTGAGTTCAACTGTTTCAAGCTTTCTTGCTTTAATTACCTTGTTTTCGAATTTATTATCTCAATATGTACATTATCAAGATAATTTCAAACTCATTTTTCAATTCTGGACTCAAGACTCTGGATTACTCCCTATAAAATACTAGAAAACAAAATAATTTTTTAAAAACATCTCATCATCAAAAATTTGAAAATGGTAATTTGAAAGTCTGACAGAAAGAGATGAAATATAATGTCATTTCCTGTTACTTCTGAGAACAGTCCACTGACAGCCTCTTACTCCCTTCCTGTGCCTCTCCTCATTGATTCATGTAATTATCACTGAGGATGACAAGATTTGCTTGATCTCAGTGACCTGACTTCCTTCCTTTCAAATCTTTTTCACCATCAAAGAAAAAACAATATCCTGCTCCCTTCGGAGCACATATATCAAAATTAGAGCAATATAGATGGGATTAGCATGACTCCTACCCAAAAATGGTATGAAAATTACTAAAGCATTCCACATTTTTACATTGCTAAAGATCAAATGAATAGCCTGTATCGGTAGGAATTATTTTCAGTTGTATGGAATAGGAGATCTAAACTATTGTTTAAATGAATTATGGGGTTATTTTTATTGATTCTTCAAATAAGCTGTCAAAGATCCAGTTAACTTTCTGCTGTAACATCTCTAGTGCATAGTTTTACACTCATAAATACTTATTAATCCCAAGATAGCTGCTTCTCCCTCCACCTTGCATCTATATGGCAGAAAGGAAGAATGGAAGACAAAAGGCATATGCCAGGTTAATCTGATCCCTTTTAAAGAGCTTTCTAAACATCCCACATAGCAAACTTATACTATATCTCATTGCCCAGAATTGTCTCATATATTGACCCCTAGGCGCAAGAGAGCCGAAGAAATCAACTTTTTAAGCTACAGACATTACCATCAAAAACAAAAGATTCTATTAGTAAGGAAAAAGGGAGAAGCTTATTTTCATTGGCAATTAGTTCTGTCTGCTAGATAAAATATAGGAAAGACTCAATGATATCATAATAAATGCAGAGGATAAAGGCAAAGAGATTAAAGTAATTTCAGAGAACATGATAAAATGGAAAACAGATAAAGGGTGACACAACGTAAGAATAATTGATGTCCCTGAGGTAAAACTCAACAAACAAAACAGAAAAAGTATCAAAAAATACAGTAATGCTCTGAAATATAAAAACTGAGCCTGTAGTTTGAAAGGACACATATAGTGTATAAGGAAAATATATATATACAGATCAAGATACAATGTCGGTAAGTATTAAACTTTAAGAATTAAAAAACAATTCCGACATTCAGGCTGAACAAGTCATCTATAAAAGAAAAAAAGTAAGGCTGGCCTCAGACTTCAGCATAGCAAACTTCAACTCTAGTAGAAAATGGAGCACTGTTTACCAAGTGCTGAAAGATAAAAGCGAGATTCAAGAATATTATATCCAGCCATAAATTTCAAGCAACAGACATTTTCAAATACCAATGAATTCAGAGACTATAGCATCTATGAACTGTTTGTACAAAAACTACTCAATCATGAAACCCAACCAATAAAGAAATGAATCAAAATAAAGAACTCAGGAATGGAAAAGCCACAGTAAAATGACTGATGGTAAGCATTGAATCTGTTTATATATAAAATGAAGAATCAACAACTGGGGAATAAAAAGACTATAAACTACAAAATCAGGAAAAAGGGGTAGAGACCCATCAATGGCAGTTAGCATATATTTAGTGCTAATCTCTGTGGTTACTCACTTGGCTGCTAACCGAAAAGTCAGTGGTTTGAACCCACCGGCTGCTCCGAGGGAGAAAAGACCTGGCAATCTGTTTCTGCAAAGACTTACAGCCTAGAAAACCCTATGGGGCAGTTCTACTCTGTCCTGTAGGGTCACTGTGAGTCATTATTGACTCGACAGCACACGACAACAAAATTCTAGGCACCATTTTAAGTTCTTTCTATATGATAACTCATTTAACCTTCATAATAACCCTTTGGGATAGATAAACCAGAAAACCAATCCCATTGCCGTCGAGTCAATTCCAATTCATAGTGACCCTATAGGACAGAGTAGAAGTACCTCATAGGGTTTCCAAGGAATGGTTGGTAGATTTGAACTGCTGACCTTTTTGGTTAGCAGCTGAGCTCTTAACCACTGTGCCACCGGGGCTCCTTGGGTTAGACAGTCACTATTTTATTCCCATTTTACAGAAGAAAAAATAGAGGCACAAAAATAATTTGTTTTGTATAAGAGACAAACTTGAAATGTAAACTTTCACTTGAACTACAATAATAAACAAATAAATAAGTAATTTGCCCATGACAGATAGATAGTAAGTTGAGGACCCAAGCCTCACACATAGGTGTTAGAATCTGCAGTCTTAGTAGCTGTACCATGATGCCTCATAACTGATTTTACCACTGAAAGTCTCAAGTACCAAGAAACACCTCAATCTTGGGCAAACTGGATGGTTGGCCACCCTACCTCCCAGTCCTAATCCTGTTATCTCTCTCATAGCAGCAAAACACTGAATGTTAAAAAATACAGCTAAAAAAAATAGCAACAACGTAAACCAAACCAGCTTCCAGACTCATGGCAGCCCCATGCGTTGCAGAGTAGAACTGTGCTTCATAGAGTTTTCAAGGCTATGAGCTTTCATGAGAGCAGATCACTAGATCACCAGGCCTTTCTTCTGAGGTGCCTCTTGGTGGATTGGAATCACCAAACTTTCGATTAGTAGTAGAGCAATTAACTGTTCGCACCACCCAGGGACTCCTAAAGGCGACATAATGACTCCAAAACCTTAATAGCTTTTATAATTTTTTTTCTTAGCCTTAGGGGATCTATGACATGATGTCTTAATGGTGAAGAAACATTTATCCAAAGTTGACAATTCTTTAAGTTTCACCTCAGTTTTTCTTTCCTTTTTGCATAAATGTGAGTTTCTTTATGGTCATAGAAACGACAATTTAGAGATTACATTGGTTTTAAAAATTAATTATCGATTTATTAAACAACAGATTCTAATTTAATTCTTCCTTAAATGTCTAAATTCAGCTTACAAATCTCAATCCATTTATAAGCCCAGCAAGTTTAAACTGTCACTTTTGGTCTTCGATTAATATTTGGTTCAATTTTCAAGCTTAGTTCAGTAAACGCTTCTAAGTGTTTTAAACTGAGTTTATGAATTTAATATCTATTTTAAAGTCCTTCAGTTGTCTGAATGACGAATCTTCAGAAGTAATTAAGGCATTTTTATGAATCAAATTAATTAACATAAAAATATGGTGAACTTTAAGGTCTTTTAAATGTTCCAATACTGTATATAAACTTGGTAAAATTTCTACTTAAATTCACAAGTTTAAATCAATTACTCAATTCTACGTTTTAAATTGGAATCACAAGTCTGCTTTGTTAATCTAATAAACCAGATTGTTGTTAATATTTGTTGTTAGGTGCTGTCGAGTTGGTTCTAACTCATAGTGACCCCATGTACAACAGAATGAAACGCTGCTTGGTCCTGCGCCATCCTCACAATCGCTGTTATGCTTAAGCCTATTGTTGCAGCCGCTGTGTCAGTCCATCTCTTTCGGGGTCCTCCTCTTTGCTGATCCTCCATTTTACTAAGCATGATGTTCTTCTCCAGGGACTGGTCCCTCCTGATAACATGTTCAAGGTACATGACATGAAATCTCGCCATCCTTGCTTCCAAGGAGCACCTTGGCTGTACTTCCAAGACAGACTTGTTCATTCTTCTGGAAATCTATCATATATTCAATATTCTTCGCCAACACCACAATTCAAATGCAACAATTCTTCTTCAGTCTTCTTTGTTCATTGTCCAGCTTTCTCATGCATATGAGGCGATTGAAAATACCACGGCTTGGATCAGGTGCACCTTAGTCCTCAAAGTGACGTCTTTGTTTTTTAATTCTTTTGCAGCAGATTTGCCCAATGCACTACGTTGTTTGATTTCCTGACTTCTGTTTCCATGGGTATTGATTGTGGATCCAAGTAAAATGAAATCCTTGACAACTTTAATCTTTTCTCCGTTTACCATGATGTTGCTTATTGGTCTGATTGTGAGGATTTTTGTTTTCTTTATGTTGAGGTGTAACCCATACTGAAGGCTGTGGTCTTTGATCATTATCAGTAAGTGCTTCTAGTCCTCTTCATGCAAGGTTCTGTCATCTGCATATCATAGGTTTTTAATGAGTCTTCCTCCAATCCTGATGCCACGTTCTTCTTCATACAGTCTAGCTTCTCGGATTATTTGCTCAGCATACAGATTGAATAAATATGGTAAAAGGATACAACCCTGACGCACACCTTTCCTCATTTTAAACCATGCAGTATTCCCTTGTTTTGTTCAAACGACTGCTGCTTCTTGGCACAATTAAATGTTCTGGAATTTGTAATGTTATCCATAATTTGTTATGATCCACACAGTCAAATGCCTTTGCATAGTTAATAACACATAGGTAAATATCTTTCTGGTATTCTCTGCTTTCAGCCAAGATCCATCTGACATCAGCAATGCCGATGTCCTCTTCTGAATCTGGCTTGAATTTCTGGCAATTCCCGGTTTATGTACTGCTGCAAGCATTTTTGAATTATCTTCAGCAAAATTTTACTTGCATGTGATATTAATTATATTGTTTGATAATTTTTGCATTCTATTGGGTCACCTTTCTTTGGAATGGGCACAAATATAGATCTCTTCTAGTCGGTTGGAGGTAGCTGTCTTCCAAGTACATAATACTAAATAAACACAGATTGCTTAGCAAAAGAAAATGTTAATATGATATGTTTGGTTCTCTTAAATATTTCTGTCATAAGTTTTATAACTCATAAAACGATATCTGGTTTGGATTTTGGATCTCTCTCATGGCTTTCTATAACTATTTTGATCATAAACTTCAAAAGCATTCCTCTAATAATTTAAGTAAAATTAAACATTTTTTAGTAGGTTCTGATTTTTGTAAAATTACTTCTCTCTGTCTCCCTCCTATCTGGGTAAATGTGTGTATTTGTGTGTGTATATTTTCTGTATTTATTTCTATGTGTGTTTATGGTATACTTGTTTGTGTATTTGTATATATGTCTGTGTGTATTTGTGTGTGGGTGTGTATACACATGTACATGCAGGTGGAGAGAATAACTCCTTGTATTTTTAAGGAGAGCTGATAGGAATAATGTTCATCAAATAATAATACTGGTTATTTCAGGCAAGTGGAATTTAAGGACATTTGCAGGTTTTTACTTTAAATTTTTCTCTATTGCTTATATAAGCAAATGTCACTTTTAACAGAAAAAAAAATCTCTTTAAAATAATATTTTTAGGATGAGAAAACTCTCTTTGTAGTTACTTGAAAGCTGTCAAGGCCATACTGTTAAATCAAAAAAGGAGGTTCAGTGTAATACATATAGTATTATATTGGGGAAAAATGGGTAAAAATTTAATGTAGTATGCATATAGATG